TATCTGTAATGGAACTTGGAACCAGAGCAGCCTTTAAATGGCGGTCTCTGTAAGAACGGTCTAAGGCGTTTCTCATCGCAAAAATATTTTGCCTCAAACTTTGCGCTTTGAACTATCTTCGGTAGTTAGTATATAAAACCAGATTGGTTTCTGGTAGTACATCAAATAAAATTTTTGAGAGCTCTCAATAATCAAAGCTGCAAGAGACCCTTTTTTTGATCTCCTGCGACATCGAAAATTTCAAAAGTTGACAAGCTCGCTCCTCGTAACACATTATATGCAGCAAGAAATCGTTTGTATTCCTAAATTGTACGATATGGAAGAGGTTTGGAAAGCATTTCAGTTTTGGTAGGTGTTGTTTATTCAGAGATTCGCCATAATTTATTTAAAAACACGCGTTAGACAGCTGAAAAAAGAACGCATAGTGGCAAGGCTTTTGTACAGTGTCAGCGATGCTGTCAATGCACGCATTGAATACTTGCTTTGGATCTCGGTCATTTCCTCACGCTGATCTGAAGTCCTGTATTTCTCTGCTCCCATCAAGCGAAAACACGGTTGATAGAATTCTGAGCAAAAATTCACGTTATCCCTGCCTTATTTAGGTGGGAAAAAGTACGCAATAGAATTACGTGACTGGGTCACCGGTCGCCGTGAATTTCACTGAGTATGTGCTGTTATAGATTACGTGCAGTCCCTCCTTTTGGGCCAGGTCCGTCGCGCGGGTCAAAAAGGAAAAACGGAGCTAAAAAAGGGAAAAAGAGATTTTAGCGCGCAGTCGGGAGCTCTTGGGGTGAAGCGCTTGCCTTAATATTTTTTTTCTTCATTGATTTTTTTCGACTCGGAGGAGGGACTGCTTGTAGTCTAGTGCTGTTATCGCCGATTACGCCAAATAAAATCCTGTAGTTTGGCTCTGAAATGTTCTTACAGGTTTGAACAAGCCTAAGCTCTCTAAACTCAAATATAAAAGAACAGAAACCAATTTTTTCTTTTTTAAAGTTTTTCATTAAAAACGTTGACCGAACGCTAATCAGTGTGATATTTGATGCGTTTTGTTCAACTTTTTCGTCACGAGTCAGTATCATTTGCCAGATTTTAGCCGTTGAATATGTTTATAGTATCAATCAGTTCGTTCTAAAAGCTCTGTCCTACTATCTTTTGTTTTAAAAATGGTTGAAATCTAAGATTTATGGAGCTACCAATATAAACGGGGTAATTTAATGTTATAAACTGAGTTGATAACGCAAAGAGTTTAAAGGCTGACGTTTAGAGCATTAGCCCTTCGTCAGAGCGATTGAAGGAATTTTGGAATGTGTGGGTTTATATGCAGAAAATGGAGCTACGCTATTGGTGGGAATATGGTGACGAGAAAACAAGAATAAATCATTAGAGTGAAAAGCGCTCGTTGATACCTTGGGGATTAAGAGTGCCGATTTGGAGGATACATTTTTGTTCTAGAGTTTTGCGGCTTTCCGAACTGCCTGGATGTAGGGAAAGGCCGCAAACTGCCATGTATTGTTTAAAATGATTAGAAAGGTTTAAATGTCTAGCGACTGGTTTGGATGCGTCTTGACATTTCTTTCTACGTTGCGAAGGCATTATCGGAATCGGTCACCCAGTCGTCTTCCTGTTTCACCAATATATAACTTTTTACAATAAGTGCAAGTTTGCACGTAAAGTGCAGGGTTTTCAACTGTTTTGTTTTTGAATGGATCTAGTAAAAAAAAAAAATCGCCAATATTGATCTCAAAGTACCGGACGTGGAATGGCAAACGACCGGACGAAACGTCCGGCCTCCGGCCTCAAATGAAAACCCTGAAAGTGATCAGTGTTTTTAATGGATCTCTTGGGTCCCGACATTTTCCATAAAGAATGGAATCAAAATGATCACGAGGAGTGTTTATGATAAAGTCAGTCAAATCTGCACAAAAATCTTTGGTGCGAGCCGCACGTCTGATAGACAAGTAGTGTTTACAGTTATATATAGATTAAACAATTGGCGTTTGAGACTGCAAATGACACAAATAAATGGCTGAATCTTTCTCAGGATCCACGTTTCTAGTAGACGGCCTATTGAAGAACTCAATGGTGGTGAAGTTGTTCCCCTTTGCGGTTAGGGTGAATGTGCCCAATTGGTGTTAAATCAGCAACAAAAAAACAAACAAAAAAGAGCTAGCGTTTTGTTCAGTGTTTTCTTTTATTGCCAAGGAGTGACTAGATTGTAAGAGAGTTTAATAATGGTTAATTTTTTTTACTGAGATCATTCAAAGTGTTTCTTGGTTCCAGATTAAATCAAAAGGAAGCCAGAATGTTTCTTGACCTGACTTCTCGATGTAAAATTATTAATTAGGAAGTATAAGGTCGCAAAGTAAGTGCTAATTCCTGAACGAAAATTATTGGATTTGTATTTCTTTTAATAAGAAAGACAGAGAAGAAAAATTGATGTTTTTTATTCGACAGATTATTCAAATATCATTATCAGTTCATTTAAGTATAAATTTTGCTCAGCTATTGCAAGCAAATCAATAAGACGTAAACAATTACCGTTGTTTTATTTTTGTCTCTTTCTTTGTTTGTTTTTTCTGTCCTAGCCTTTACCTTCCAGTGAATAATTACTTTTAAATGTGCTTAATTATTACCAACGTGAGAACATTGAATAAAGCCTCTGACAAGATTGCTGACTTATTGAAAGCACAATTTTCAGCTTCTGTCAGAGTTTGGCCAGAGATGTTGAATCGCCGTTTTTTCTTTTGTTTTCTTTCAATGGAGGTGTTTTGTTTGAAGTTAAAATCAGTTACGTTTAGCAATTCCTACTCGCGTGACTGTTTGCAAAAAAAGGAAAACAAGTTTGGTGTATTCGAGTTTTGAAGAAAAAATGCAAGTGAATAATCATAGTTCTTCGCAAAAGAATGAATATAGTCACCGGTGATAGTTTTATAATAACCACTTGCAACACTGCCTCTAATTTTCAATTAAACGTTAAATTATGGAATTTGATCATATAGGCACGGTTGAATTAAAATTTGATACAGTTTCTTAATCGCCACCCTTCCCGCTTTGCACCATTATTGCAATTTGTGAAAGCTGAGAGAGCTCCACTTGAGACGAACTGAGATAAAATATTATTTTAGCCAGTATCTTCTGACTCAATGTCGCAAGTTTTAACTAAAAAAAAAAAGTCCACTCAAAGTAATATTAGAAATTTAAAAGATGTAATAAAGAGGCATTTTTTATCCCGAAATGTTTTCTCGTGGGTCGCGGCATCAGGGTAGAATGAAATTAAAATGGCCGAAAGTATGCCCCTTTAACCATTGTGGAAAAATTGGCTTGGAACAGTGAGATTATTTCAAAGTATGAGTTAAAAATAAAACTTGTTCAGACAATTCTTGTTTTTCTTGACGTATAAACGAGTTTATAGCGATCTGTATATTTGCATTGGAAATGATAGTCGCTGGACGGTGAAAACAACATACCTTTACTTATCGATGCTTGAGATTATTGACAAGTAAGTTGAAAATCATAAAGCTAAAACTGAGTAAATACAACTACCTCGACCAAGTTGAAAACTTGTTAGACGGCATAGGTGATAATGGCTGATAAATTGAACTGTTTTTCGCATTGACTCTTGAGTGCTGAAGGCGTTGATAAGGTCGTGCCCTAAAATCGGTGACCAAAAATAGAGCATGTTACAAATCACGTTTTCTTCAAGTCCGTCATGCCTGCAAAAGGCACATCAGTGTTTCCCTGAATTTTTTTTCTAATTTTATATCTGTGTCATTTATTAAATAAATGAAGAATCAGCGAGGGAGTTTTTCCTCTTCTTTGAAGCTGTGTAATGTCTTCTGGCCTTAGGTTTTTAACTGACGGATTAGATTTTTGATCCCTATGGGATCAATGACTCTGCGATCAAATTCATCCAATTTCTATAAAATAATTGTGAGCTGACATTTTTTTTTCTTTTTTCTAAAGGGTGATCAGTTGGTTTAGAATAGAATCTGGAACCATGAAATTTTCAAAAACGGAGAAAGCTTCAATATGTAGTTTCTAGCTTTTAACTTTCCTTTATTCTTTTTTCTGAGTCCTAAGTAAACTGAATACTTTCACGTCACAGATACTGTTTCTTTGTTCGCTTTCCTTCCTTTTTCCCTCTTAAGCTTAGCTCGCAATTATTTTTTTAAAGCTGCGCTTGAAGGTCTTTCAACCTGACTGAGTAACTGCCATCCAGGAATAGATGTTCCTGAAATACTCAAGCTCTCAACAACATTTATTTGCATTCCAGTTTCGTTGTTACTCAGTTTTCCGTTTTTTCTCCTCCTTGTTGACGCCATTTTGGTGACGTACTAAAAATAGTGATTTATGATTTGCTTTGGTCCCTATCTTTTAATGACTCCAACCTTCCTTTATTTGGCGCAGTTTGTAATTGTTTATTGACGTCAAACTTGCATACTACTTTAGACGTCCCGGGTGCACGTTTTGTATTGGAAATCCGCATTTACCATAATTGCCTCAGCAGAAATACTTTTTTATGTCATTATCCACACGAAATACAAAGAGAGACTGTGACGAACACGCTATTAAAACCAGCACAAAAAAGGCTCAATTATTTTTTCTTTCTTGCCATTTTCGTTGGGTCTACGTATGTGAAATCATTCGTGTGTATTTTACGCTGATCACACGCAAAACAAAATCATGTTTTCGAATGCATAGGGTCCGACGTGTTTTTTTGACAGTCTGTGTTTGTTATTACCAGTTTTTTTTCTACGTCAGTGGGAGAGCTTAACTTATATCAAATGAATAGGAATTGAAAAAGAAGCTTTTGATTTACAAACTTAGTGCATTAAAGTCAGTGATGTCTACGGGAAAGAATAAAGTATTCTGTGATATCCTTTTGAGTTATGAGTAATGCTAAACCACAATAGAAAAATCAGATATAAATCCCAAGAAATCTCTTCCTGTCAGCTTGTCGGGCTGTTACTTAAATGGGTGTTCTGTTAACGCCATAAGCTGTGTGTGCTAGATGTCCAAAGAAGCAGAGCTCTTCGGAACTGTTTCTGCAGCCGGACTGCAAGGCCAGTCATAACACTGAAAATCATACTGGTAAGGTATTTTCTTTTACGGTTCGACTTATTGCAATCCAGCGATTACCGCCGATCTTTTTAAAGCATTTTCAGTTCTTTGGAAACGAATTCCAAATTTTTCTAAAGCTTTTGAAGATCTCTCTGTGAACTTGCCTTGCCTTCTAAATGCCAAATCTTTGCAGGATGTTCTGTATTCCTGTCGAAAGTGAAAGCAAAACGTTTTTCTTTTTTTCAAACAAACATCAAAGCGATACTTTTCAACGTCTCGAGATAGATGTTTAGGAACTCGTTGTTGTGAAACCGAACATGCTAGAGATATGTAGATCTTTTCCTCTTCGTGAGTCGAGACAGGCTCGTAAGCTTCGAACAAAGCACAAAAGTTTTTGTGCTTAAAAGAAGCGAAGTAATGTTTGCGGAAAAACAACACAAATAAACCACAGTTCTTGACACCATTATCGCCAGTCAAGGTGTACTCTAAGTACATTCCTCCGAAACTTGTGCATACAACTGGTTTCTGACTGATGCTAAAATTAACCTTAGGCTAGATGAATGTAACCGATGTGTCTGTTTTTATGAAATTTTTCCTCTTGTAACTTAAGGGCAGAATCACAATTAATACAATTTGTGGTTTCATAGTCTAATGCGTGAACGTTTGATATAAATATAACATTAATCTCTTAGCTTTTATGCTTTTCATTCAATCCAATTTTTCTGATGTGTTTTTCTGGACGGCACTCATTCTGTAAGATGGATTACTGAGATCCTTACTAAGACCTGAGGCATAAGACAGGAACAGTTAAAGGCCGAAACTTTATCGAATATCGTATTAATATGAGTAATCAGAGATTGTTGGACGAAGTCCACTAGACTGAAGAGAATTTCCGCCCCTTTCATTGCAGAGCTTAGATGTTTTTTTTTCTTTTTCAGCTGAAACTTTTTATGACGATTTGTACTCGATGTCAGAGATGAGGTTTTTGATGATATTGCCAGCAGTCACAGTAACTTTGACTTTCTTACACATGGTTACAAGCACAGGAAACCCAAGGTAAGTTGGGAATCACCATTTATTAATTCGGATATGCCGTACTACGATGCCACCTTTCTGTTTCCTTGTTACTTGGAAACCGAGGATTGAGGTATGACCACGAACACAAAACTAAATCCCACTATTTAATTTCACATTTTTTTTGTTTAAATTGCCCTTGTCAAATTGACGTTTTCCTCTTTTTTATTTTCGACAGAGATGACCCAGGATCAACCATTCCTTTTTCCATAAAGGTTTGTTGCTTTCAGTTTATTATTTCTAACTCAGGTTATAAAAGGGTTAGCCTCCTTACAACAAAATGAATGGCGACTGGAATGATTCAATTCTCTCTTGAAATACCATTGCTAAAGTGGTTCTTATCTGGTTTTTTCTTTCATCTTTAAATTTAGGATGCTTCCAAAACAAAGAACATAACGAGAGCTGGAGTTAACAGGGGTCTGAGGGAATGCCAACGGCTATTTAAGAACGACATCTGGAACTGCAGTTTTCATGACGAAGGTGTGACTAGAGAATTAACTGACTTTGTTCAAACAACTTTGCCTTACGGTAGGAGCTCTTGTAATCATTCGAGGAATCATTGACAAAATAATTTGACTCTGTTTTTATTATGACTCAATACATCAAAGATAATCAAGGTTTTTCTATTTCGGAGATCCTTCTCCTTTTCCTTTTATGGTCAAAATTGAAATAACAATAATGATAATAATAATTATTGATCAAACAAAAATCATGATTTTTCCAATTTATTTATAGAATATAAATGTCCTTTGGTATTAAGCTTATATTGTTAAACGTTCAATCCCTTTCTGTTGTAGCCAATAGAGAGATGGCGTTTTTACATGCGATCACCACCGCTGGCATCCTTCAAGAAATTGTTTCTCAGTGCGCTGCAAACAAAATTGCCGAATGCAGTTGTAACAAAACAGCATGGCAATCGCACGCCTGTAAAAGAACCATCTTGGATTTTGCAGTAAAGCAGACAAAGATTCTCACAAGAAGTAAAACGCAGGGGAACGACGAACAAAATAAAATTGACCAAAATCATAAAAAAGAAGGAATAAAGGTAAATGTCTTTTTCGTAATTTATGTATTCGTATGTTGGATTGAGTTTCTCGCTTAATATCTATCCATTTTGTTGCCACTTTTCATTAAAAAACCATTCTATATGTATCTTTCAACCAAGGGACAATAATACTAAATATACCTACTTTTCGAGGAATCGATAGAAACGCAATGTCTCGTCATGGTGTGCATCACATCAGGTTCTCTTTCTTTTTTCTCTTTGGGAAATTTTATCAAATGAACACATAGCCTGCAAGAGAATAAATCATTCTCTAGTAGCCAGTCCTCAGAGCTGGCAGTGAGAGGAGGAACCTCTTTTTCTCCCTAAAGGGTTTTGTGCTCTTATACAGGATATTTAAGTTAAGTTGTTGTGGAAAGTAAGGATTTTTTGGACCTGAATCCCAGAAAAGAGTATGAACTTGACGGTGCCTTTTTAATATGAGTGGCCAAAATGCTGCATTTCTTTGGAGTATATTAAATTTTGGGAGAAAAAACTGCCTTACATATGACACCAGCGTAACACTCCTAACTTTGGTGAGACTTTTGCAAACGTTACCTAGATTGCTCATGGGTTCCCTTGACAATCAACCCTAGCACTTAGCTATGTTTTGTTTTCGTAACCGCTGATTATTCTTACCGTGTTTTTGATACCCAAACAGGTTTTCAAGAGGAATTATCGCAGTTGTCATGGTAAAGTGCCTAAAAATTGTAAGACTTTCCAAGAAATTGCAAATGAACTAAAAAGCAAATATCAGTCTGTTAGCAAGACCAACAGGGCGCAGCAGGATATCAGATCTACTTTTAAAAGAAAGCCTAAATTTGGATGAAAGAAGCACACAAATGGCGCTGTAAGCGATGTAAAATGACACCCACTACAGAGAAGCGAAGGAGTCCAGGCAACTGCTAAGATAGTTCAAAAATATATTCAGTAACAGTTTGCGTGTAAAAGAAAATACGCCACCACAACCATCAGGGTCAAACCTGGCACAAATGTTAAACTTGAGCAAGCATTTCCCCGTCATTATAAATGAGTATTGTTACACTTCTTGTTGCCAAAGCCATTTTATTGAGAGAAACCCTGGGAGCTTTAGTCTTTTAAAACAGGGGCCTCTTATTCTCAGGCCCTTAAACGTATCGCTTGTAGGTTTTAGTGGCGCAGTAAATCTACGTTTCCAATTTTTTCTCTAATATTGAACCGTCTTAATAAATAGCAAATAGAAAAACCTTTGGAGCTTTAGTCTTTTAAATCAGGGGCCTCTTATGTTTAGGTTCATAAATGTATCTCACGTTGGTTTTAGTGAATCAGTAAATCCACACTTGCAATATTTGCTATAATATTGCCAGGTAGCAAATAATGAACGCGTTCCTCGACCGCTTTCCAAGAGGGAAGTACATCTAGTTCAAAAGGAGGATTTTTTTAGGTATATGATCTTTCTGCTTGAATGGTGTCACATTATCATGTGAAACTTTGTTATTTTAGAAGATGTTTTTTACCACGTCCCTTATGGCTATTTAAAGAATCCTGTACACTCGCATATTCTTATATCACACTGAATATTACGCAGGTAGAGCAGTTAATGACGAGGCACATCTAATGAAGATATGTTGGCCTTTTAGAAATCTATTTCCTCTGGAAAAAACTGACTAATAAATTGAGAAAAATTTTGTTAATAAAATCCTGTTATTTTCAATGAGTGATAAACTAGTGGGCCTCTTCCTTTGAGATGGGTGGCTGGCACGGTTAACGGCGCAAATTTGGTCTTCCTTTCTGATTTCAGTGGGAAATGTGACTTACTGGGATAGAAATGTTATTTTTAAAGTTTATCCTGGTAACTGGCAGAAATGTCCCTGATCCAGATAAGATTGTTGGTTGAAAAATAACTCCTGCCTCTACGAGATACCGCCCCGCAAAGGAATTGAACCGAGTTCACATATTAATAATGATAATACTGATAATAATAACTCTTTCCCTATTTAGATTTATTTAAATACTGGTCTCTTATTGATCTAATACCTTCAAACGACAAGCAATGCAGCTCAAAGAATATAAGTTGCTTAAAAGAGAACAGCTCTCCAGAAGCTAACAGCTTGACTCCCCGTAAAGCAAAAGCAATCTTGACGAGTTGCGAAAAACAAATTCCTCAACTACTTGAAAGTGAAATTCATGGAGTAAAATCTTTAACGGAAGGAATGATAAGAAAAAGTCCATTGGTAAAAGTGGAAGAGTGGAATACTAGAACATTATTCGGCCTCAGTTGGGCAAAAAGGTCGTTCTATCATTCTCTCACCCAGCGTTCCTCCAGAAAGAATGGAATAAAAAATGAGCACAAAGAGAGTTTATGTGAAAATATTGAATAATTGATTATTTACCGTAAACATGCTTAATAATAAGCAACGAGCAGACATTGGAAAAAGCCTTTGCTAAGATTGCTGATATAGCGATAGGGAAAATAAATTGTGAAATATTTTGCGCCTTTTAGAATTTTAAAATTTGATAAATCGTCATTTTTCCTTTTCCTTCCTTTTCGTTCGAAGTCGATTAGCAACTCTTACTCCTGTGAATACTCTTTGTTCTACTGTTTGGGGTAATACATCCAGCAAAATATTTCTAAGCTCCAACTCATTCAGAACTTCGCATGCAGAATAATCCTAGGTATCAAAAAATTTGATCATGTCTCTGCTGCGCGCAAATCCCTTGGTTGGTTAAGCGTCCGTCAAAAACTTCAATTAAATACCGTTAAACCCACCTAAATGCAGATAATCAACTGGTCAACGCTCTTTCGCCTTTCGCGGGGCAAAAGAATATACCCTCCTTCCAGGAAACATTCGAACAAACAATCGACCAACGATATTTTAAGTTTTAAAAGGAAAGTGGCCCAATTTATCAGAAATTCTTCTTAAATGGATCTTTTAACCTTTTCATACCTTTATACGAAATTATGTTAATTATCATGATTATTTTTATTATTATCATTAATATTATCATTATTATTATTATTACTATTATTTTTTTTGTCTGTTTTCTTCGCAACACATGTAAATATTCTTTTACCCATCGTAATTTATTATATAAATATTATTGTATTACGACAAAATAGCCTCGTATAGGGGAGCCGTAATAATAAAGTGTATTGTGCGTATTGCACAAAATATCAGAAAAAGTTTCATGGATTCGAGTTCGGAAGAGAAAGTGCAAGTTAACATCCATAACTCTATGCACAAAAATAGATAAAAATATAATGATCAAATTGCATCAATGAACGTTGATGCAATTTGATCAGCGATGAGATCTGTAATCGCTACCCTTTGCACTTTGTTCCATTACTGCGAGTGTAATTTACTGAGCTGAACGAAGAGCTCCACTTAAGTGGAACTAAGAGAATATTTCTTTTAACCAGTATTTCCTGATAGGATGTGGCAACTTCTTACTTTAAAAAAGTCTACTAAGAGCAATATCAGAAATTCTAAAGACGTAGTATAACGACATATTTTAATCCTAGAAATTTTACCGGTGGATGTGCGGCATTTAGGTAGAATGTAATTAAAAGATGGCTGACAGTGTACCTTTTAACCATTGTCGACAAATTGGTTGGGGACAATGGGATTATTTCAAAATATGAGGTAATAATAGATCATTTCAGACAATTTGTGCATATCTTGACGTACTTGGAACTTGAGAACCAAGTTTAGCGATCTGTACATCTGTATCTCTCCACAGGAAATAATAGTTGCTGGACTCTAACAACGACATGCCTTTAATTATCCATGCTTGAGGTCATGGAAACACATATTAGATATAAAACCATAGGACTGAAATCAAATATATAGGTACCCTGATCAGGTTAAAACCGTGCCGGATGCTGTAAGTGATAATTGCTAACAAATTGAACTGTTTTTGATGTAAGCTCTTAGGTACTGAAGGCGATGAAAAGGTCGTGCCCTAAAATTAGGGACCAAAATTGAGAGATTACAAATCACGTGCCCTTCAGGGCATAGGGTAAAATATCCATCCGTTCCTTTGGTCTGATTTAATCCCAATTCTTTTGTGGATACGTCTGTTGTTGCGTCTGGTTCATGCTCGGGCATCTTTCATCTTTCCGCCTACACAAAACCAATTTCCAATTCAATTTGTTCCACCAATTCCCATCGCTTTCTATCAGTCTCTAAAAGAGATTATCGTTCAGTCACGTGCGAAAATGTATGTGCTACGTGATGTCATTGGAAATACAATACTGATGTAAATCTATTTGGCAATGAATAACAAGCCAAAAATATTTACCTGAAAAAGCAGGTTTAATGTGTTCAAACTGTTCGTTTGCCATGACATTTTTCAGAATTCAACTAGGTTCAATAGAAGTGGTATTTCAAGAATGCTTTTGAATTAGAGCAGCTTTTTTTTTTTTAAGAAGACGCAGACTGTCTACACTTCTCACTACATTCTACGCCTTTAACCTTGTCCGACAGAAATGGAAAGTGTGCCAGTAACTAAAGAGATACAGTGACTGTCTTAGGAAAATTGAATTTTGTAAATAAAAATTGCGAGAATGATTTGCCGAGTCCAAGAAAATTTTGACGATGGCTCTCGTTGACGATTTTGAACAGATAAAATAGTGGTGGAACACTTTCATTTTGTGTTCTTCAGCGTATAGTAAGGGACAATGGTAATACATCACAATGTTTTATGGACTGATATATTTAGGGTCATAAAGAAACCTCTGAAGTCTGAAATGTTTTTAAAACTTTTTTATTGCTGTTAGTTATTTGATTAAAACTGTCAATTACTGATTTAAGAACCTGTATTCTTATTAGGGATAAGGCCTATCAATGCACAAATGGGTCTTTAATGAAAGCATTACATCATTTGCAATAAGACAAGAGATCACGCTGCATAATTTATGTAACCATGCACCCCTGGTGCTTTTTTTTTTTTTTTTGAGTTCAAAGTCCTGCCGAAGAGCAGTGTTTAGTGTTTTTGTGTCTTGTCTTGTGTGGGGAATTATTTTTTCTTCTGGAGCGCCCGGGAATACACGCACTAAAATGCACACACTGTTCACGGTAGGCTTAAAAGGCTGTGGAGCGTCAGTTTTTTAGCGGCTTGGTCCACGAACTCAGACAAACGCGAGGAAATATGAAATGTGCAGATGACGTCAAATGAGTCTTAAATAAACTCAAAGCAACTGAAATATCTTTAGATGAAAAGCCAAGTACTAATGCCTGACACAATCAGGAACTTAGCCGGTGACTTTCTCGACGACAAGAAGAAACAGATATCCCGACGAACAACAGATGCGGTATTGCGCCTCGCAGGCAACACGAGCTTACGAACAATCGAATTCTTGGAGCGAAGACATAACCCCAAGGAAAAAACCCAAAATGACCACAGAGATAAGTCGTGCATTTCTTCCTTTCTTTTTTTTTCATGTTATTTTGCACTAAATGGCAGTTTCTGTTACGGTTTAGGCGAACGTGGTTGCTTTTCTTTCTTGCAAGCGTACGGTTTTAGTAGCTATGAAACCGGGATTACTGTTGTAACATCATCTCCCTTTTGACAGCAGAGACTTAAGTTAGGGATTTGATGTTTTTGGCAAATCTGTTCAGATATCTTTAGCATGTAACAAGGAGTCGATTTCATGCTGCTCTAAACATAAAAAGACTGTTTAGTTCTGTGGACACGACCGAGTGCTGATCGCATTTACCTCAAAAAACGAGAAACAAAATGATGCTTGCACCGGTGGTCTTCGCTCGTATAACCAAATATATATCCTTTACTGTATGATTGTTGTAGGCAATCATGAGTTTCCCAAAATATTTGCTGAATACTATGAATAAAATAAATGAGACGTGCATGGGTTTATAAAGACTATTAAGAGGGTTGTCAACAGAATTACAGAGGTCAAAATGTTTTTAGCAACACTAACAGTACAGTACAGTCCAACGTTTACTGGCAGAATCCATGCAATTTTTGTGATGATGTTGTCATTGTAGCTCTTTGCTAATTGCTTTTCAAGATTTGAGCGCAGACACTGCCAAAATTTCGTTTATTTCGTTTATTGACTGCACAGTCTTGAGTAATTTTCATACAGCAAATGGTACAAGACACTTTACTCTTATGTAGAAATTTGCTTTATATGTCTCATTCTCAAAGGGTGTTCCTGTCACTGAAATGCAAAGTGCAACTCTAGAAATTACAAAAATTTAACAATTACCTAAACGTCCTTTTTTGTTTCGATCGAACCAGGACAAGAGTATTGATAGATCTATTTTACTCTCAAGATGCAAAAATTAGTTCTCTAGAGTGCGTGTCATGAATTTGTCATTGTTGGATTTCTGAGAACTTGGATTGATATTCAATAAATCTGATGTTTTCCTTACTTCTAATTAGCTTTGATTTGAAAATATCTGGATGTTGAAAAGAGAAATTCATTTTTGAAATAGTTACATTGACAGGTTCCTTTCATCTTAAGATGCTGCTGCGTTTTCCTAATTTATAGATTGTTTTCTAATGGAATCTTGTTGCTACTGAAAACAACTTACTCTAAATGCAATCTTTAATCACGGGTAATGAAATTCATCTATGGATGCTAATGATATTTTGAAGTAAAGTTGAAGCAGGATCGCTGATTTAGACCATGACCGATAGTAGGGTGAAGGCAATTGGTAGCTAAGAAATAGTGGGCTAAT